AATCTGACACATACAAAGTGCGACCGGTTGGACTTAGCGACGTATTATGTCAAAATCAAGTCGAACCGATCGAACTTCTTTAGCATTCAGCATCTTCAAGAATTTGAAACACAAATTCAACAAATATCAATAAATACGGTAGACGATTGAATAATTTGCTCCAATTATTAAGAAATTGCGATCAAAACCACTTCAAAGGATGATAAAAAATCAAATATATTTGATGATGATGTAAGAGGATCAGCATTTTTAGGACTATACTTTCTATTTTCCCCCTTCGGAGAAATTACTAACATCTTTTTCATTTTTCTTTTTAACTTCTCCTCCCACTCACTCTAAATTTTTTTGGGCTTTCGTTAGATGAAATCAACTAAAAAAAAATAGAATTTTTTTATTTTTTTTTGGAGTTTGGATAGAAGGAAAAAGAAATATTCGGCTATTTTTCCCCAACACTTTTCATACACAAAACACGCAACAATATTATTTCCATGTGAAAGGTGTTTCTTTTTATTTCACTTTCTTACTTTATCCAACAATTTAATTGTTTGTATTTATTTCTGGGTAACTCTTTTATTCTTTGTGAATTGTCAAAAAATATTTTTATGAAACCATGTTATTTTTTTTCAATAAAATAAGATAGATAGTGATTAATAACGAAAAAAATAAAATAATAATATCTAGTTCGGAGGCTAGAAAATAAAAGAAAAAAAATATCATTGATATTTAGTAGTCTTTATTCTCTAACCATGTCCAATCCAACCTCCAAAAATTAGTTTCCTTTTGGTGATTAAATGTTTTGTTACAAACTTTTATTAAAAATAAAATGAATATATAATCATAGATTTTTTCAAGGACGTGGATTTTCTATTTTTTCCAAACTAATTTTCATACAAAACTATATATATATATATTCAAGAAGATATTGTAGGTGAAGGGTTGGAAAAAGTGAGTCGACAATGCTTCACCTAATAAAGCAAAAGAAAAGAACTCTCATTGAAATTTGGGAAAAAGAGACAAAAGCATAAAGCCAGGTTTAGTCTTAAGGTGAGTATGCAAGTCAAAACGTTTAGTGCGAATCAGACTATTCATATCCAACTACTCCCTTGCCTTTGTAGATTACTTAAAAAAAAAAAAAAAAAATGAAATAAATAACAACTACAATATATATATATATATATAGAGAGAGAGTATCATTACATCGGTAACAACCGACAACTTGACACACTCAAAAGTTAGATGTCTCGCACCCACTATTACGTAAGACACTCAATATTTGAGTATAGAAAATTTTTATAGTTTTTTTTAGCTTTTCAAGTAATTAAATTTGAATTCCAAATAGGAGGAGAGGAGAGAACTCTTTGCAATATTTTCTATAAGAATTATTATTTTTACTACAATAATAAAAATTTAAACCAACAAATATAAAAATGCCAATTTGAATTTGTGACAGTCACTTTGGAGATAGAATCCCAGCACAGCATTTTGTTTTTATGGTATACTAGTCTAGTCAACAAATTGAAAAAGTGTTACAATTACTCTCTCGTAAATGTTGACCCAACCATTGAAAACACCATTTTGTTTTTGGAATCAGACCAAACAAACTTTTTTTTTTTTTTTTCTTTTTTTAAAATTTTCTTAATCACCCTGTTCTTCTTAAAAAAACTCAATTGATAAGATGAGAAAGTTAATTACTAATTGACCGACAGACATATCAAATCTGTCACATTCACAGCTAGATTACAGATTTTCGGTGCCTTTTGCCAAGTCAACTCCGAACATGTACGAAAAAGAAGGAATCCAATAATTGAGTAATAAATTAAAAATCCTACAAGAAACTTTAATTTAAACAAAATAATAAATAAATAAAACGTATGGATAGTCCATTTCTGCCAAAAACTTGTTGGGTCTAATTTTTATTTTTCTAATTTTTTTAGGAATTTTTTTTATAAATGAAATAACAAAAAAAATTTAAATTGTTTTTCCTGAGTGTTTCTATACACCAAAATAAGGAGGGACCATTGCTTGGTTGGGGTGGTTATAAAATTTAATTGCTAAGCATACGAATGGAGTGTGGATAATCATTTAATATATAAAATTACATTGAAAGATACCTTGTTGGATTGATAATAAAAGAAACCAATCTTCAATTAATTAGTGCAACCAATCATTCATTACTATTGTCTTTCAAGAGTAATGCTCCAATGAGAGTGTCTCCTGACAAAAATATGACTTTTTATATTTAATCACTCAATTTTATTAAATATGTTAAAAGTTAAATAAGGTCTGTGTTGAGCTTGGACAACTTAGGCAGTCGTCTAGGGCCTTTAATTTAAACTCAAAATCATGTATTACTAGAGCCCAAAATTTTATATTATTAGGACCTCTCAAAATTTTGAGCTCTCAAATTCGCCTAGGACCTCATAAAATTTTGGACCTCTTAGGACCGGTCTTGAGTTAAATTAATTATTTAATATATATTTCAATTCATTTATTAAATGTGAATGGTTCACCGCTCCTAAGGAAGCTCTATAAAGAGAGTTTTTTTTTTTTTTTTAAAAAAAAAAAACAAACTTATACGCATTAATCATTTTGAAAAGAAGGGTTATACCATTGAATTAAAAACTCTTGGTCACTAATATAAATCCTAATATATGTAAATAATTCAAGTTACTTTGGGTCCTATAGTAACTCCCCAAGTCCATATGTCAAGGTTTGAAGACGAGTAATATATGTATATATATATATACACATACTACACAAATGGCGTAAAAGAGGAGATCATAATAGGATTCAAGTTAAAAAAACAAAAACTAACAATAATAATGATAAATAATAATGACAACACGATAACAATAATAATAAGACATAAAAGTGTACCATACATTAGTTACTCGTGGTTTTGGTGCTCTAAACAATAGAAAACAGCCTATTTTTAAATCGGAACGTCATATGCGACTAAATTGTAAGGTCATACTTATTAGTAGTTGACTACTTTTGTTGTGACAGCAAACTCAATTATAGGGAAATAATTTAACCAAACTGCCATTCTCCTCTTTGCTAGCACCATAATCGAGCAATAGAATTAAAATGCAAGCTTAATATATATATATATATATATATATATATATATATATATGTAGATGTATGTGTGCGCGCGCGCGCATGTGATTTGGTGCACTGAGCACAGTAATTCTATATGAATGTAACTACTTTGTAATTATTAAATAAAACATACAACCATGTATATTCTATGTCTGACAGAGGTTAACAGTTCATTTACCTTTTATATATATTTTTTTGTAAGGTTTTATTTCTCAACTGATTTTCCCCACTTTTTTTAGGAATGGCAAAATATTCTATCCCATTTATAGTGATAAATTATAAATTTATTCTTATACTTTATTTTTATATTCAATAATATTAGTTATATATTAAACAAATCCTATTTTATTTTATTATAATCACCAAATATCATTTTTCATTATTCTTATTTGAAATCTTTTATGTATTTAATATTCTTGCAATAGTATTAAGTCTCAAATTTCAATTGAAAAGTCCAATCTTTATTTTTACCTACATAGAAGAAAAAAAATTATCATAGTTTAAAATTTGTTTCATTGTTTACTTTTATTAGATTTGTACTAAAATTACGAAAATACTTTAGAAAATTCGTCCCCGCCCCGTCTCATCCTGCCCCATTTGATAAACGATTTTGGACAAAAATGGAGATAGATATGCTCGACGAATACGAGTATGACGATACCCACCCCAAATCACCCATTACCATTCCTACCCACGCATTTGGTGTGCAATTATGCATATTGAAATATAAAGCCACATTATCAATTGTGTTGACGTAACTCTATACTTTATTTGGACAGTCATGCCTCCTGTTGTCAACTTCTTCATTCACTATCTATGTTATTATTTTTAAGAGAGTCATTAGTTTACTTGGAGAGACTTTACCTTTTTTATAATAAAAAAAAAAGAAGATAAAAACTACATGTAAGGCAAAGTTGAATATATATATTTTTTATATATATACTAGATTAAATAACAAAACTCATATAATATACATAAAAATAAAAATAAAAATAAAAAAAACCTCCCATGACACTAGATGTTTTGTGCCACTTATGCAATATTACCGACATAATATATCGATTATTCAATACGCTATATAAAATTTGTTTAAGTGATCTAGCTACATTTGTAATCTCAAGGGGTTAGCTCTCAGTTGGCTTTGATTCTTTAGAAAGATGTGTAATCAATTAGAAATATATATATATATAAACTACCTAAGTTAGTTATTTTTATATAAATAATTTAAATTTATTATGTAAATAATATAAAGTTATTGAGGTAAGGAACAATTTCGAAAAATTGCCAGCAAAGTAAGATTAGAGTAACCATATAACATGTGTTATATGAGACTTTTTACGATGGAGATTATATTCAGTGTGTTTGGTGTAACGTACATTAAACCATAACAGTAGTATGTTTTTGTGCATGATGCATCGAGCACACTAAATATTTTTTGCTCATAATGAGATTTTTTTTTACTAAATCAATGAATTAACATACTCATTAAATAATTTATGATTTTTCACATTAATAAGCTGTTTTAATTATGTGATTAAATAAGGAAAGATCATGCTTATAAAAATAGTTTGAGTTAGTTAATTTATTAAAAGTTGTTTTCACAATATATTTTTTATTATAAAATCAACAGTTCATTGGTAAAGTGCATAAACACTTTGATTCATTCATTAAACTCTTTGATTCATTAATTAAAAATAGTCGTACCTGCCGCAATTCAGGAGTATATCCTACTCAGTTTCACGAGCTGGGAGAAATCTGAACCGTCCAATGCCGTAAACACCTCCGCAGGTTGGATCCGATCTCCAATTTCACATCGTTCGATCTCTCTGACGAGCACATATAAAATGATCAAACGGTATGCCCAACAAAAAAAATGATACTCCTCACTGTCACATTAACATCTATCCCCGAGTTCGTACAGTGTCCTCTGCTGTCGAGTCGAGTGGGAGATAGCCACAAAACGTCACAGATCAAATCATCCAAACTCTCTCTCCTCGACGCCGCCACTGTAAATCACCAACACAAAATTTTAAAATAAAACAAAAAACAGAATTTTATGATGATTTCTTCATTTTCATAAATCCACAAAATCCCCATCTGACCACCAAAAAGTTCACCCTCCTCCTCCTCTCTCTCTCTCCTCACTCACATTCTCTCTCTATATAGAATATAATACATATACACATACGGCATCAAATATTCTCCGATGACCGCCGGCGACGAGTGCTTCTGACGTCGGACATGGCGGACGACGTTGTTCCGAGGACCTTCCGAGCTCTAGTTGAGAGCGCCGACCGGAAGTTCGCTAGGGTCCGTGACGTTCCGGTGTACGGACACGGCCAGAACCACTACTTCCACAAGGTTTTCAAAGCATACATGAGGCTATGGAAGTACCAGCAAGAGAATCGATCGAAGCTGGTTGAGTCGGGCCTTCGACGCTGGGAAATCGGCGAGATCGCTTCTAGGATCGGCCAGCTCTACTTCGGCCAGTACATGAGGACGAGCGAGGCCAGGTTCTTGCTCGAATCGTATATTTTCTATGAAGCCATACTCAACAGAGGCTATTTTCAGGGATCGGAGGGTTCGCCTAAGGATCGAGGTGTGAGGTTCAAGGAATTGAGGTTTTACGCGAGATTTTTGTTGGTTTCGTTGATTTTGAATCGATCGGAGATTGTGCAGCTTCTCGTGGAGAGGTTGAAGGCTCTTGTTGATGATAGCAAAGCCACTTATCGGGTACAATTTACTCTACATTTGCACCAACTACCTATTCTACAATAATTATTTTGTTTTGCTTGATTCAGACTCAATTCGAGTACAGTTTTGTAAAAAGCTTGAAGAAGAATAGGAGCACCCTTTTTTTTTTAATAAATTGGCTAAAATTTAGATTGATTTGTCATAATTTTGTGATACAAAGCTGTTTCGTTGACTAGGTGTCGCTTATTGAGTATTTCTTTTGTCATATTTTTGCGGATTTGAGATTAATACTTTTAGGTTAATAGGTAGTTCCTATCTATTTCAATTTTGAGATTTGTGCGATTATAAGATGACATCAAGAAAAATCATTCTGATTTATACTATTTCTGGATGCTGAGTCTAATTTTAGGATTATTTGGTAGTTTCTCGGCAGATTTATGGGGTTTGTACGTCGTATAGACACAAGGAGGTCATTTATTTAACTGATTTTGGGAATTTTGAATTTTGTATCCTTTATCAAAAGGACTAGGACATAAAGTAGGAAATTTATATGTGAGAGGGTGTTAGAGGTGTTTAAATTGTATTTGTAACTTTTAAGCCTATATAGTTTATACTAGTGGAGTTATGAAAAAAGCATCTAAATTATATAGTTTGATGGAAGGTAATAAATACCAATCAAAATTGGTTGAGAGGTCAGTCACTTCAAACAAGATTTTGATTTCTGATTGGAGATTGAAGGGAAATGTAGAAGGAAGAATGCTGATGCATTTGAATGTGAAATAGAGGATCGTGGTTTGGTTGTTGAATCAGTTCATTAACAACTATTGAAATATGCAAGTCATAGCTGTGGAATCTTATTTGCATTTTCAAATTTTCACTCAAAACATTTGACTCATATGAAATAAAATAAGTTTCGACTCCATAGAATGAAAAGCTTCCTCTTTTGTGGAAATAAACTTTAAAGAAGGTTTTAATTGTGAGTAAAGTATAAATTCTTTTAATCAAACTAATTTGATCTATACATCGACAAAGTACATTTTTATAAATGTGAACAAAGTAAATTTTTCTAAATGTCATCAAAGTAAAATTTTCTAGGTATCTGTTTCCCTAGCTCCTGCCCTAAGTTTGTTAATGGATAGAATCAGAGGAAAATTTGCAAGCTTTCTGGTTTCACAATTCACATTCAACTATTAGGCTAAAAAACTATGGACTGCATGTAATGTTACTTGTAGAAATATCAAGCAGTGCTTGTGATACATATAATTTTTGAAGGATATTATAGCAATTATTCTTCCTGCATAATATTGTGATGCGAGGGAGCTTGGATGCAGGTCTCTTCCAAATTATTTTCAGTCTACTTCTGAAGTGCATGTGCCTTTCTGACCATGAACAAGTTGCTCACTCAACTACGTGCTTTAATAATGTTCAAAAACTGTAATGAAATTTGGGTGGTTATCACTGTATTCTGGTTCAACCAGTTCCTTTTTTCTGAGTTATTATATTTGGCGCCATTTACTTATAGTGTTTTTTTTTTTTTTTCCGGGCGGGGGGGGGGGGGGGGGGGGGGGGGGAAGGGGGATTATGTGTATTCACAATTACTTATTGTAGTGTCCACCACTTCTTTCCCAAGAGATATGAAATGAAAAGAAAACTCTGTTTCCAGCTTTAAGTATTTAATTGCATGATTGCATCATAAGTAGTTAAAGCCGTATCCGCCATCTCTTTGTCAGAAAAACAAGAATTTTTGTATCCAGCTTTTAGTAATTTTTTTTCCTTACTTGGTACTCACACACCATGCCTCCATTGAGGCTTGAACCCCTAACCTCCCTTTGAGAAGTAGGGGCTTGGTACCGTTGGGCCACTGGCCCATTGGTAGTTTTTAGTAATTTGATGAATGATATTTGAACTATTCTTCTCAGGAAACCAACTTCAAAGAATGGAGACAAGTAGTTCAGGAAATATTTCGGTTTATGAAAGCTGATACAGCCTTATTCAACGTTCGGCCTTTGCGGTATTGTGCCATGTTTGATTCTTATCCAGCTTCTCTTCCATACGTGGCCCGTTTCCATGCAAAGAAGATTCTAAGATTTCGAGATGCATTGCTGACTAGTTATCACCGGAACGAGGTAATTGGTTTTTGTAGGATAGCTTTTGGCGTGACATCATTTTTTTGTTTGATAATACAAAATGAATCATTTGAAAAATTCTCTCTCCCCTGCCTGTGCATCATCATTCCAGGTCAAGTTTGCTGAGCTTACTTTGGACACTTACAGAATGCTGCAATGTTTAGAATGGGAACCTAGTGGATCTTTCTATCAAAAACATCCACTTGAATCACGAGAGAATGGTGTTTCAATTGATCATTCCGGTACTTCTGGACTAATTGATATAAATCTGGTTGCGGATATGACTGATCCAACTTTGCCTCCAAACCCAAGAAAGGCTATTCTCTATCGACCATCTGTGACACAATTGATAGCTGTGAGTGTCAAAAACTTGATTTAGTTAACTTGGTAAATTGATTGGAGTCAATAGAGTTGCCAGTTCTGTTCAAGGATCCAGGGGAGTTGTTCAAATTGAAACATTTGATGCTTTAATTTTTGTTGGCCTCTCTGCATTTCCAAGGTCTAGTAATTAGGGTACATCGGTCTTGCTCATTGAAAAAACCCATCCTTTCTAGCACGTGAAATTTGAGTACCATGCTTTACATGGCCATGACACTGAATATATATATATATATATTGTGGCTATTTACGTAGGAAACCAGGAAATATTAAATAGGACAAATGGTTTCCTTAATTGTTTGATGCAAAATTTCCATCATTGCTTATTTAGATTTCTAATTTGCACTGTGTTCGATTACTCATGTATGGCCAGGTTCTTGCTACAATTTGTGAGGAGCTCCCTCCAGATAGCGTTATGCTAGTATATATATCAGCCTCAGGTTGCTTTTCCTTTTTCTTTTTCTTTTTTTAATGCAGTTTCAAGGGGAGCTCATCATTACCTGATCACCCTGTCCCTAAATTACTAACACCAATGATCTATGTGCAGGGAATGGTGCTTTACAGAGGGAAAACTCTGGAGGTTCAAGGGAAAGCTCTGGAGGTTCAAGGAAATCTTCAAAGGTCAAAGTTGTTTCTCATACTTCCCATGAACAGAATAGCACTTTGCTTGAAAATCATGTTGATGAGAAGAGAGACTCAAAGCACTGTTCTGAGAATTGTTTGCGGTTAGGTCCAAGTAGAAATGGAGGTAGGAATTCATATTATCCTTATGCTATGTTAGTTTTTTCTCTTCAGAGATTCAGTCATTATACTATCAATTTACTCACCTTTACAAATACTTCTTTTAAATTTTCAGATTCAAATAACCTCTACCCTGGTGATATAATTCCTTTCACCAGAAGACCACTTTTCTTAATCATTGATAGTGACAACAGCCATGCATTCAAGGCAGGTTTGTCAAAACTTATGTATGACTTACTGTTGCCACACTGTTTTTTTATTAATTATAAGATATATTAATATTCAAATCCAGGTTGTTATTCTGTAGTCATGATTGCTTGTGCTATATGTCATGTATTTGCTGTCCCTGTCTGACTGCTTTCAAAGTATTTTTTGTCTCTTGAAAGTGGCAGTGACCTATAAGTCTGTATCATATTGAGAAGATAACATTGTGGAACTTGATTTAGGAAAAAAGTTGTCTTTTTTATTGCTTTGCCTTTTCCCTTGCCCCCCCTTACTTTTACCAATTGCATTATCAGCTATAATATTAATAATACTTGCTGCTATGGTATTGGTAGATTATACTCCCCAATCAGAAGAAATGCTAGGGTCAGAGAATCTTTTCATTTTACATGGAAATGTTGTTGAAATGGTTATTCATGTATTACTAAAAGTAGTTCGGGATATCAGTTAGGGGAGGGTGTTTTCCAGTCTTTTCATACTGTACTACACATGTAACATTGAGTACCTTTGTCTAAGGAGGTATCTAGAATCACCAAGGAATAATGCGTTGCAGTGATACTAACCCTTAGAATTTATTATTGTGGTTTATTTGGAGAATATATTGTAGATAACTACTCTTTTGTTTTAGAATTAGAAACCCTTATATTAGCCAATCATAATCTCCATCAATGCTTTAGGACTGTTCCATTCATTTTGGGATATCTGAGGGCAGCATGGTCTAATGTTAAATGTTCTGTAATTGCAATATATACTATCGGAAGTACCTCCACAGAAATACTTTCCCTTTCCCAATGGTCACAACCCAAAAGTACAAGCAGGTATTATAGAATCTGTTTAAAACAAATTCGACGGCTGTGGTGTGGTTGTTTATCTATGCAAAATGCCAGAAGTACCCTGGTATCTTATTTTAAATGTCAGTTTGTGTGTGACATTCTCCTTAAGAAATAAGAAATCCTCATTCTGTGTCATGTTGCTTATAGTGAATTCCTTTGCAGGTTCTACATGGTGCAGAAAGGGGGGAAACAGCTGCGCAACTTCTTTCCCCTTTGAGACCAGCATTCAAGAACCCAACTAATGCTGATGTAACACAAAATGGAAGTCAGTTTACTTTGTTTTTGACTGCTCCTCTTCAGGCTTTCCGCCAGTTGGTTGGCCTCTCGTCTTCTGATAGTGATGAGGTAAATTGATTGCAAAACTTATTGAAATTCTTTCAAAGTCTGATTTCGGCTGAGATAGAGCTCTGATACCAATTTGATGCAGGACAAAAAAGAAAGAAGGGATGAGAATAAGAATTTGAGATAAGACTGGAAGAAAAGAGGGAGAAATAGACGAAAAGATAGGCTAGGCTAGATAGATTGAGGGAAAGAGAAGCAGTTTACACTAGGGGAAAAATGAACACAGAGAAGACAAATCTCAAACCAAATTTATTTATTTTCTAATAGTTCAGTAAATTTAAAATTTTAGGTTTAGTTTGTATTTTCTTATTTTAGAGTTTACTTATTATTTTGTTTATATAAAGCAGCTCTTTCACAAATAATTCGACTTTTGATTACTGAATAATTTTTGGGTTACATAATTCTCTTCTGCATTTTCTTCTTCTGTTGTGTCTCTCATCATCTTTTCAATCCGTTCCGTCTAAATATCTCTTTTTCTTCTAATTTCATCTCTTATTTTTCTTATTCCCTCCCTTTTTACTTGTCCTACATTAAGTTGGTATCAATGCATTCCATCTTACATCAGCTCTATCTTGTCTTACATCAAAGTCATTCTAGGCTTCTAGCTGCTATGGTCTTATTTGTTGTCCTACATCAAAGTCATTCTGGTCCCTATGGTCTTATTCATTCATGATGGGTTCTGCTTTCAGGATGTTTACAACGATGCAGATAACATGCTGTCCACTTCGTTCTCAGAGTGGGAAGTGATACTCTGTACATCAACTTGCCTAGACCTCGTCTGGGCTCAAGTTTTATCTGATTCATTTCTGCGGCGGATTATTCTTAGGTAAATTTTTCTTACAAAATATTCACATGTATTTCAAGCACATTACCAAATAAGAATTATTTTGGGACGCCTTGCTGGAGGGGAAAAAGGTTGGTTGACTGTCACAACTATAACATGGCTTTCAACAACAATTTGAAATGAATTCGGTAGTACAAGAGGAATGGTAGCGTTTGTCATTACATATGTATAAAAAAAAATGTCTTGGTGATTCTAAAGATATTTTAGGTTTCATCCACATTTGTGGAGATAGTCATCCACAAAATTGTGTCTTCCTTTCATTATGAATTTGTCAAATTGTAATGACGAGATTGCAACACAAATAAAAGAGTAGAGTTCCCAATTTTCTTGTCATGAAAAAGTAAGAAGTAATTGGACTTTTTACATTAGGACATCCAACATCCTACTCTCCTTGTATGCAGACATCAAGAGATCGTCTCACATTCATTTCTCTTGAAAAAAATTCATGCAGTAAAAAACCAGCCAGATCAAATAAGCTTAACCTCCACGGCACAATTCTGTTCTAATTATCTCAATACAGACTAGCTCTCGGCATCTGAAACAACGGAACATGCCAAACTGCATATAGTCTGTGGGTCCTAAAATAATGAGGACCATACTCCATGCAACTTGACAAAGCTCAAGTGACCTTAAAGTGTTCTTATTGATGAATTAAATAGCTTAATAACAACTCTAAGTTGAATTATTTTGGGGTAAACTAATGAAATATGGTCTTATTTAATGTCCTCTATCCAGATTTATTTTCTGCCGGTCTGTGCTTAGGCTTTTCTGCCCTTGGGACGATAATGATCAATATTTGCCTGTTTGCCTACCGCAACTTCCCAGCTCTGTCTCTCCAAACTCTCAAGTTGTGCAATCAGCCGTCCTCCGGCTTGCAAACTTCCTTGGAGTCGCCGACTGCTTTCACTCCAATGGCGTATAGTTAGCACAAATTTTGTACAACTGTGTTTGTATGATAAAGATTACTCTTTGTAAAGATAGAAGTTTCATCAATTGAATAGGACAAAGACTCGGGAGACCATTGAGTTCGTACTTCGCTGAATTGCAGAGAAAGATAATATTAGTGGAGTTGTGGATGGCACTTGGGCAGTGTAAGGGATGTCCTTTTTCGTTGCTGGGTTGCTTGTGTATTAGTGCTATGTGTGACCTTGCTGCTGTTCCGTTCCTGTGCAGAATGCATATGGTGGTTTGTTCTGGTTTGATAGTGTCTGGCCTGGGGCATGTCAAGTTCCTCGTGGCCTCCTTGGTGAATTGTTCGTTATGCTTATGGATTTATTAGCTGATTGTTTGTCTGCTTGTCGAAATTGTTAGAGAAATTAGTGCTAATCTCTTTATACCTTTGTGAAAGAGAACCAGATATTAGGAGGGTTCTTTCTTTCCTTCCTTCTCTTTTTTTTTTTTTTTTTTCTTTTTTTTGAATGTTCATGTGTACGGTATTTTTACTTAAAAGGCAGATTATAGACGAGTGTTAAAAAGTCAGGAATGCTTATTAAAGAAAGTTGTGACATTCATAGGGGGCCTCTTGTCTCAAAGAATGTTTTGAAGAATATTGGACATTGTTACCATTCTCCTGTATCTTCACTGATTGCGGGAAAGATTGTTATTGTCATTTGTTACTCGAATTTGTTGCTTGAAATATTATAGTACTAACTTAATCATGGTGGTTAAAAGGAAAAATTGGTGGAAAGTGGTATATTTAGCATTCCCCATTTCCTTGTCTAAGTATATTTTGCTTTAAATGATGTGTGTTATATTCCAATATTTCTTATTCTTGTGTATGTGTGCGCGCGCGAGAGACGGAGGGAGGGGGGACCAAAATATACTATGCAAAATGAAAAAAATATAGAGCAGGTGAGTGTTTTGTGTGCGTCTTACCTACCAATAGAACTTTTTTTTTGTGTAACTGGGAAATTTATAATATATCGAAATCTCAAAAGAAAAAGGGAAATTGATTGGATTTGATGAGATATATAAATTAATTAACTTATTTGACACGATAAATTTGTGGTTGGCTAATAATATTCTCTCCGATTGTTTAGGGCAAAATAAAGTCTGAACTCTTTATTATTATTTTTTTCACGCTTTTCAATGTTTGTAATAAATACTTACATTTTAAATTTTGCATGTTAAGAAAACCCTTTGAATGAATCAAATTTTATAATTGATGCCACTAATCGCCATTCATATGCCTTTTGATGTCAAGTTTGCACATGCTCTATCTAATTAGATTTACTTGCTCTAAAAATTAATAACATATACTAATAACTTTTTTTCATAAAAGAAATTTAAATGAGATTTACACATATCAAATGATATAATGACTTGATACAATTTATTATTGAGTGAAAAGTTATAAATGAAATATTTATAATAATAAAAAAAAATTAACCTAATTATACACTATTTATTATAAAAAAAAAATGGATTACACAATTAATTTTTCAGAAAAGCTTTCAAACTCCACACCTTCAACATATAAATTTTTATTTTTTCAAAATTTAAGTACATTAAAATTCTTAAAATTAAAATATAATATAATTACAAATTTTTTAAAAAATTGGTCATTAAATAATAAACTAAAAATAAGAATAAGAAAAATTAAAGAATTAGATAACGAAATATACCATTATTTAACCTTCTTTTTTATGAGAGATAATTGTGTCATCTCCTTTTCTTTTCTTTAAAAAAAAGGTGATGTGTCAATTTCTAATATAATTTCTCTAAATACTAAAACATTCATAGGTTTTTTAAAGAAAAAAATTATTATAAATATATTTTTAAACTTTTCGCTTAATTATTTCTTGTATCAAATCATTTTTTTAATATGAACATATCTCATTTGTTTATGATTCAAGTACCGTTTATTTTGTAACCAAAAAATAATAATTAAATACCATTAACTTTTAGAAAATTTTAATTTTTATTTTATTAATTTTTAGAGGAATTAAATCCAATTAGATGGGGCACATACAAATTTGACATCAAAAAGAAAATAAATTCATGCTTCAACATTCTTTTATTGTTAGTGGCATCAAGTGTAAATTTTAAAAATTGAAAGCATTTTTCTTAACACGCAAAATGTGAGTGGTTATTATGCTTAATAACCAATACACTTGTTGAAAAAATAGGTAATTCAGACTCAACCTAAAAGAGTCCGCCAAAGTATCATTACTTTATTGCAAATCCAATTAATAAGGGTCAAACCCAAATGTTATGGACAAATAAATACACCGCGTATACAAAGATTTAGTGTGGTTCAGCACAAATTGTATCTATGTTCATGTTTAAGATCTATTTCACTGTGCAAAAATTAAAAAATTGCACATTACAATTCTCAAATCTTAACACACACACTCTCTCTCACCCATTTTCAATCTCTCAAAAAACGTCCCACTCTAAGGCCATCTTCACCAGCTTCTCTGGATTTTGGCTCTCTAAAAACGCCACATCAACTTTTCCAAGAGCCACATCAGCAATTCCAAGAGCCATGTCAACAATTTTCCCTCTCCAGAAACATGCACTCCATCAGGCTCTCCAAATTTTCACTCTAAAAAATAATAATAATAATAATAAATTAAAATAATAATAATAATAATTATTATTATTATTATTATTATTAACTTTTCCTAAACGACTATATTTGTAACGACTATATTTTTCATCTTATATAATGAAACTCATTTGCTCATCTGAAAATCATCAGTATATTCATTTTTCTCCATTATAACAAAATATCATCATCTATTTTTTTTAATTTCGAAATTCGAATAGTGTGATACCCCTCAGATCCGAGACACGGGTGGATCAAGCCCGGACCCAAACCCGAGGGATATCAAACAATTAATATGTTAAATCGAACACGGAAAACAAAAATAATTTAAGAAATAAAATTCAAAGCTGAAAAAACTAAAAGAAAACCTTATATCACAATTAGTCCAATCTGATAATCCAAAACTCTATAAGTTTACAACTCGGGAATCCATCCATTGGACCCCTTAATAAAATTCTCAAACCAAAACTGAAATACTAGAAATAAAATCCAAAGCTAACATAGAGAAGATTCCTATATAATCGGAGGAATGAATATCTGTATCTGCTCTGCACGTCCAAGCTCTAACCCTGGAACTGACGAACATCTGAAAAATAAAGGAGTGGGTCAGGCCCACATGTAAGTCCTGATCTACTACGATCCAAACAGTAATCCGATACGCAGATACATCCAAGAAAGACTCAACAATATCTAGAGTAGTCCATATATATATATATATATAGTACACACTATAGGACGCTCGCTAATCTAGTAGGTCTGTCTCAGCCTGAATAGAAGGCAATATACGAATACGCACCCAAAGGTGGGCATGAGTACCTAGACTTACCATGAAACAATACATATGTCCAGTTATCCATCCTAAGCGATATAAGCGTCCTAACCATGGTCCTGAGACTCAAGCTCATACCATGGCACATATAATAAATATATAAAGTCCGTACTCCTAATACAAAATATCATTCATTTGTATAGTGGTCTGATATATGTATAACAAATCCATCCTGAAACCATAGTAGATCATTCAATTTATTTGATTGACATGACACAAGTAGGTGATGGTCTTAACCTTTATGGTTAATCCATACCTTAATCCAAATTAGGTAGGACTTAGTGTTTTGAACTAATCCATTCCCAATATAGGTAGGTCTTAGTGTTTTGAACTAAGCCATCCCTAATATGACACCGTCCCATACCGGTTCATATATATCAATATAAGTAGAACTTAACCTTTTTTATGGTTAATCCAACTCGTTCCAAATTAGGTAGGATATAGTACTTGAACTAATCCATACCTAGTATGTCACCGTCCCATACCGGTACATACAATCCTCCAGTTAACATAGTTGACAATACAATATTAAATAGTTATCAACCATACTCCAAGTTATGCACAAGATATATGAATCCAGATACATAAATATTAAGCATTCAATACAAGGCCTAAAAACCATATCTAATGTTATAAACTGTTATAATATATGCAAACATTTACATCCTCCAACAAAATCCACGCATTGATACAATTTAATACAATTTAAAGTACCAATTAAATCCATACTAGGTATAGTTGAGTTTATTTAATTTACCATACCTATAACACTGGGAAAAATATGTTTATACTCAATTAAATCATATAATAAAATCCTACTAAGTTCCAGTGCACAAAATTTGCAAAACAGTGAGCAACTCCTTAGTTTTTCTTTAACTTTGTATTGCTTCATCCCTTAATCCAACTACAAACTAATGTTTCACCATTATTTTTACAGGTCTACAGCAGTCATCCCTATTCTTTAAACCAATTTAAACTGATCAAAACACCCCACGCAGTCAGACAGTGCCCAAAAAAACAAAACTGGAAGATTGTAGGTGAGAGCAGGCTCTTGAAAAAATGCAGAGCCTGCTCTTCTTCAACAAGAACCGGCTCCAACACCTTAGGAGCCGGCTCCTAGCAGGGTAGAACCAGCTCTAAGGTTAGGAAGAGGCAGCTTTTCCTCTTTTGGAGCCTGCTCTTCTCTCCTTCGATGCCGTAGTCTGTTCCTACATCGTCTTCTCCATCCCCAGTGATTTTCAGAACTTCTGTACTGTGTTCTAATTCCTAATCTAGATTCAATCTTAGTCCTAAATAAATTTAAACCACTGAACTTCAATCCTAAGATGTATATATTCACCAGTTTTAAAGCCACGTTTTACAGAACCTCTGTTAGCAGTTTTTAACCAAGTTACGACAGATTTAAAATAGATTTATTTAGTATAATTAAATACTGTTGTAAGCATTTGTTTTAGAGTTCAAACTCAGTCCCAGATGAATTAAAAGGCCTCCAATTGTATTACTTATCTCAATTAAAACAATACTCAATCGTAAACCACAGAAGGAACAAATAACAGAGCGTCACAAAATTCATGCAAACCAATTAATTCAACGAGATCAAGTAAACTTCATATATGCATAAAAGACATGTTATTATGTTTGTTTAATCCTTTTTTAATCCCTGGAGTCTAACTAGGTGTGATACCCCTCGGATCCGAGACACGAGTTGTTCAGGCCCAGGCTCAAACCCGAGGGAATATCAAACAATTAAAGTATTTTAAAGCGAACACAGATGACAAAATGAAATAATAAAGATGGAATAAAACTGAAAGAAACATTAATTATAAAATCCTCCATGTATAACTGAAAATTGAAAATCCAATCCTCCAAAACTTCAAGGTTACAACTTGGGAATTCACTGATGGACCCCTAACCAAAAGTTCAACTGAAACTGAAAACTAAAAATAGATAATGCTAGAAATATTGAGAGAAGTCCTACGTATCAGATGAAGGTGAGACTGTCCTCGACAAGCACGATCAAGCTCTAAG